CACTTTCTGTGTGTGTGTGTGTGTGTGTGTGTGTTGTGTGTGTGTTAGTTCTGTCTGTGTCATCCTGTCGTTGTGTCTCTCACCATCAGGAGGACCTGAGAGGAACCTGTCAGAGGATTGCAGAGGCGGTGCTCGGCCGAGACGACGACTGGCAGATGGGAAAGACTAAAATCTTCCTCAAGGTATTTTTACTTCACAGGACAACAAAGTCAAAGTCAGTCATAACATAATCAACAATACGGTTAAATAATAATAATTATTTAGGTCCCAGTCAGTCAAAATGGAAAAGTATGGACACAATGTCCCACAGAAGAATAAACAAATCCTCGACACAGACTCTGAAGTTCATGACATTAACTCCAGTGAATCGATGTTTCAGAGGAAAGAATGAAAAACAACAGTTTCATGTTGTTTCCTACGTGTCTTTAAAAAATACATGTTTTTAATAAGTGAAGCTCTGCTGTGATTGTTTCCAGTTCATATCTCTGCTGAGAGGAAATACTGTGTTTGGGTTTCCAGCTCTGTGTGTGTGTGTGTGTGAGAGTGTGTGTGTGTGTGTGTCTGTTTCTTTCTTCTGCTGCACTTTATCTTTTTAATTTTTTTACTTTGGCAAATGTCCACTGAAAAAAAAGCTTGGTAACAATTTCCACAGAGAAATACATTTTGTATTTAATTTTTATTAATTCCTTTACTAGATAAAGAATAAGTGAAGTGGATTTTACTGCCAATTTTCTCCCCTCGGTATAAAACGTTACTTAACTACCTTTTATTTACTTTATTTCCAGATGTTTCTCAGTAATATTAACATATTATTTGACCGACTTTACAGCTCTATTAATTAACAGCTGTATTTACTTTATAGATGAACATTTGACATATTAAACAGTTAATTAAATTGAATTGAACTGTTAAACTTTCATTAGTTTCTCGGCATGCTCACGCTCCTCGTGTGACTGATTACGGAAAAACTTAGCAAAGTTGTGCAATGCCAGGTTAAGTTAAGGGTTTGGCATTTAGTTTGGATGGTTTGGGTAATGCATCATGCCATGTCCTCACTAAGATAACTGTACAAACGTGTGTGTGTGTGTGTGTGTGTGTGTGTGTGTGTGTGTGTGTGTGTGTGTGTGTGTGTGTGTGTGTGTGTGTGTGTGTGTGTGTGTGTGTG